GCTCCAAACCATGGGCAGGGACACCTTCAAGTAGCCCAGGTTGCTCCAGCCCAGCCTTGGACACTTCCAGGGATCCAGGGGCAGCCACAGCTTCTCTGGGAATTCCATTCCAGCCCCTCCCCACCCTCCCAGCCAGCAATTCCTTCCCAATATCCCACCTATCCCTGTCCTCTGGCACTGGGAAGCCATTCCCTGTGTCCTGTCCCTCCAGGCCTTGTCCCCAGTCCCTCTCCAGCTCTCCTGGAGCCCCTTTGGGCCCTGCAAGGGGCTCTCAGCTCTCCCTGGAGCATTGACTTCTTGGAAAAGGAAGAAAAGCAAGATCCAGTGACTATAAACACATTATTCCACCTGCCCAAAGGCCTCTCCTCAGTGCCCACCCTGCCCTGAGCGGCTCCTTCTGGAGCCACGTGGATTAATGGGGGACTGTGGGATGGAGGTGCAGAAACCTGGACAGATATCACCCAAATACACCCAATAAACAGGCTCCAAGTCCAACCTAAACCCACCATGAATTCCTAAAGCATCCCATTCCTTCAGGGTGCTCCCAGCCAGACCCAGCTAGGACTGTTCTGTGGTGAAAGGCGACCATGTAAATTATTGTCAAACAACAGGGATCCCTCAGATGTGGGAGTTTCCCAACGTGACAACTCAGGAGAGGGATCAGTGAGCAGTGTCAGATCACCTGGATGTTCCAAGGGAAGTTCAAGGTCAGCCAAAAGAACTTGGGCTTCCTGCTGGGATCACAGAAATGCAAACTGCTCTGGGCAGAGCCAGACCACAACTGCTTTGGAGCCTTGCAGCAGACACCAGGCAGCTCCTCTTTTAAAATTGATGGATAAAGAAGAAGAAATCCTGCTCCCTTCCCCTCTCCCAGCCCGGAACAAAAGGGGAACATATTGCAACTGTGCCGAGGGAGAGAGGAGGCCGCTGTCTGTTCCTTTAAATGTAACGTTAATGCCCTGTAATCAGCTTTAATTTTTAAACAGGCCCAGCCCTCCTGTCCATTCCCCCTAATTCGGGACACGTGGAAGGTAAATGGGCTGTGCTGGTGACAGCTGGGGAGCCTCAGTGCCTCGGGACAGCAGGGGACAGGGCAGGGGACACGGGCAGGGGACACGGGCAGGGCAGGGGAGGTGCTGGAGATGCTGCCAGGTCAGGGACACGGTGCCAGACAGGGCACAGCTCATTTGTGGGTGGAAACTGTCTGAAAGCAACGGGACTGGCAGGAATTCTGGAGGGGCTGAACCAGCCAAGGGCTCGGCAGGGACGCCCTGCCCTGACCGGAGCGGGTCCCTTTTGGGAGAGGGAGGGAAGGAAAGGGCAGTGGCTTTTGGGGGGTGGGGGCAGTGGCTTTTGGGGACAGCAGCAGATCAAGGCAGGACTGAGCCACTCCTGGTGTCTCCCCGGGGTGCTGCCCTTGTGTCCCAGCTGAAGAGCAGCCTGGGGACTCCATGTGACTCCTGGATACAGAACAGGGACACAAAACCCCCCCGGGAGGCTCCTGGAGCTCTTCCAGCACCGTCCCCTTTGCCAGGAGGAGAGAGGCCTGTGGCACACCCAGGGTGCTCATCACACACAAAGATTTGTCTCCACGAATCCCACACTGGTTTGGGGTGCAAGGGACCTTAAAGATCATCCAGTTCCAGCCCTGACACCTTCCACTATCCCAGGTTGCTCCAACCTGGCCTTGGACACTTCCAGGGATCCAGGGGCAGCCACAGCTTCTCCGGGCAACCTGTGCCAGGGCCTCCCAACTCTCACAGGGGAATTTCTTCCTCATATCCCATCTCACCCTGCCCTCTTTCACCTCAAGGCCGTTCCCCCTTGTCCTGTCACTCCACGCCCTTGGGAAAAGCCCCTCTCCAGCCTTCCCACAAACCCCCTTCACACACTGGAAACGCTGCTAGAGGGTCTCCCCGGGGCCTTCCCTTCTCCCAAAGTGACTAAACCGAGGTTTCCCCAGCCCAAAAGCCCAGCAGTGCCCGGGAACAGCCGCTATTTTTAGCCGCGGTTGGTGGGCAGACAAATCCTAATCGGCAGCGGAGCCGCCTCGTCATCAGGGCCGAGATCAGGCCGAGCAAAGCCACCCGTGACAGCCCCGAGTCCCAGGGACGGCCTGAGCCCGGCCCTGCCCGGGATTAGTGCCCGGGAATCAGGCAGGGCAGCAGCAAATGCCAGCGGGGCTGAGGGGGTGGGATGGAGGGCAAGGCCAAGGCCGGCGGGAATCGGCCCCACTGGAAGTTCAGGGCAAATGGAGCTGCAGTCCCGGGATTGGGGAATGTTTGGGCTCTTGTTCCTGCTGGGAAAGGCCTGACTGCTGGGATTGGAGCTGCCACGATGCCAACACACACACAGAGGCTGGCAG